TTATTTAAATTATTTGTAAATATTAATGAAACTGAGAAATGTGTATTCATAATATTAATAGAGAAAATTGATAATTTTTTTAAAAAAATAATATAGCACTGTACCAATTATCAATAAAATAATTTTTAAAATTGACATTTGAGCATCACCAACGTGAAACATCTTGTTAAAAGAAGGATGCCAACTATTCATTAGATTATCAGCAACAAGAGTCTTTGTGCTAAAAGTACATAGATTTACTATTCATTAGATTATCAACAACAAAAATCATGTTGCTGAAAATTCAAAGAACTATCAGCAACAAGAAACATGTTGCTAAAAAGTAGGTGGCCACACTACCCCTTCTAACTTTTAGCAACACAAGCCATATTGCTGAAAATATATTTTCAACAACGTGACTTGTGTTGCTGAAAATGAGGCTGAATTCCAGTGCCGGATTCCCTGTTTTTGTCATCGGTTTACCACTAATTTTTAGCAACATAAGCCACGTTGCTGAAATCCTATCTTTAGCAACGTGGCTTGTGTTGTTGAAGGGGGTGAGAAATTTCACCCCCCACCCTCATCGGATTCCGGTGACTCATTTCAGCAACACAAGTTATGTTGCTGATACTATATTTTCAGCAACGTAGATCATGTTACTGATACATCAGCAACAAAATTTTGGTTGGTAATATATTACCCACTAAGCCTTTTCCAACAAAACTTTTAGCAAGCAAAGTCATGTTACTGAAAGACTTTCAGCAACATAGGAACCACTTTCAGCAACACAGAAACATGTTGCTAAAGGTGAGGATTTTAGTAGTGTTTGCCACGTGAGTTGAGTTAGGCCAATTCAATATTTGTAAGTCATGCCCGGTCTCGACAAATAATTTCATGTTAACTGGACAACAGAGACTAAGACGAAAAGTTAATGCTATGTTGGAGAGAGGAAGGCCATGTGTGATTAGACGGCACGCAGCAAATAAATGGATATTTAACTTATACCGTTAATTTACGGTTATCAATCCGTTAAATTAGCTTAACTTTATTTAAATCGTGTAATTTAGAGGTTAACACCCTTAATTAAATTTTAAGGCAGAAGATGAATAACTTTAAATTTTTAAAATTAAGAGGTTAAATAGAGGGTTATGCCAAAAATATAAAAATTAATTTTATTTTTAATTTTTTTAATTAATTGTATTTCTAATTAAAAAGAGAAGG